TTACCCAGAAGTGATAAACGCTAAAGATCACTTTTTAGTTATTTACCCTAAAGGAAGGTCTTAAAGGCTACATTTGCCATAGAAATGTGATGTGTATATATAGCTATTAGTTCTCTGGGTTTGGATGACTCAGACTAAGTAAATAATTTCAAACAAGGAATACATATTGAAAGTATCTGTATTATTTATAGCAATGTAATTTATAGCTATAAAAATTCCCAAGAACTTGCTGAAGCTTAGTAATCCATTTAACATAGTATGTGAACATTGGCATAATAAAATGATAATTGTCTGGATACATGGAGACCGCGGAACGAAACCGTGTTAAATGAATCTAGGCAAGCCTGCAATGTTGTACACTTCCTTGGAATCCAGTAGCTACTTAAAAGACTGAGTAGAAACTTTTCAGTAAAATATTCTGATGGGGGAATATTATCTTAAGATGTGTTACTTTTGTTTACGCTGTGGAACATTTGCTTAATGATGTAAGGATGTGTTGTTTCTGTTTATGCCGCATTTGCACCTCTGTGAAGCTGTGATTCTTTGCCTGTCTAATAAAGAGTGAGACAGGAGCAAGGACAGGTGGGGCTGGCAGGCAGAGAGGATAAATAGAAGGAGAAACGAGCAAAGCGGGGAGCAAAGGAATGAGGAGAGGGGGACTTCTGAGGCCACCCAGCCAGCCATGGAGTCAGAGTGAAAGCAATATATACGGAAGTAAGAGAAGGAAAAAGCCCAGAGGCAAAAGGTAGTTGGGATAATTTAAGAGAAGCTGGCAAGAAATAAACCAATAAGGCTGGGTGGATGTAAGAGAGAATAAGACTGCATGAGTGGTTTATTTGGGAGCAGGGTGGTGGACCCCTCAAAAAGAGTGAAAAAGGGCACAACAAGCTCTTTTACACAAAAGGTGCCAGGCGTAGGGACTGCACACTGGTTAGTAGCCTGGCAGTCATCTGAGGGCTGGCGTCCCTCCTAGGGGTTGTTGGGAGCAACACTGCTAATCTGTTCACTGTCTCTGAGTCTGGGAGCTTGCATTCACAGGGGTGGGGGCGGGGCTTAGCAGAATTGAAGTGTAATTTGTCTCTGCTGGAGATTCATGCAATCTCTAAGGCGTGCACTCTGGTAAAGGGTCTGAACTGGGAGCAATGTGGACAAAGGCTTCCAGTAGACTGGGGAGCTTCTGAGAACACAACAGGTTTTTCGCAGGTAGCTGGATAGTGAGGTCTGGCACTGTGTCCCAGGTCCAGGTCCGCACAACGCTCAAGACCCTCAGGCCCTACAGCCATACCTGTAACTACAATTCCTCAGAACAGGACCATGTTCCATTATATTGATAATCTCCCCCCAAAATATAGAGCAGTAATAATGGGGTGAGGTCATCCAAGTAAGACCCTAGTAACCTCGAGGCCATGAGATGTTAAGGTGAAGGGTGGGAGTGGAGTCCACACCTGCCTTCTTCATCCCTGGGCCTATGTACTTCCTCTAGGCATCATCAGACTTCATACAGTGATATCTGAAGACCAAGCCTTCCTAGACTCATCCATGCCCAGTGAGTTATCTTGCCAGTGTGAGCATAGGCATGTCTTGCTTGTGTTAAATTCCCCTTCCTGAAAAAGGACCACAGAAGTGGCTGATAAAGACACATTCGACACACAGTGCCCCTGAAGATGAGATCTCTGTAATTGTTCAGGCTGAGGCCACACAACACTATAGGGGGTTGTCTCAACCATCCCCGGATACCAGGCTTTTCGTATAGACGCCAATGGCAGCTGGAAGATGTAACCATGTTTGTTTGATGAGCTGCAACTTTGGAGGACTTTTACCCATGTTGTACACTGAATTTTGAGTTGCAAATGAACTGTAGGGTGTTTGGCTTGTTCTTAGAGGTCAGGTTAGTTCGTAGCAATTATCTCTGGTGTTTGGAAAATGGATTTAAAGACAGACATTACCTCTGTGGCATGAGAGAGCCGTGTACCTCTTATTCAGAAGATGCCATGGTCTGGGGCCTGCAGGGGATGGAGACAGTCTTCTGTGAAAGGGCTGCCGCTTCCCCACTGAGGAGTGACAGAATCTGCGTACCGGAGTCCAGCCAACCTCCTCTTCCCTTTTATCCTGAGAGTGATCGTAGCAAGTCTCACAATAATCTTTGTTAACCAAAACCTACTCAGAAAATTTTCAGTAAGCTTCTCAGTTTCCAAAGCCCAAAAGAGCAGCTAATAATGCTGGGATGACAGTGCCCATTTATTGACCATCACGTGCCAGGAGAAGTGCTTTCTATTACCTGATTTACACAGTGGTCCCAAAGGAAATGTATTCTTGTCACCCCATATACAGAGAAGAGGCCGAGGCATAGAGAAGGGGCTTGGCATTGCTGTTCAGAAGAGGAGCATGGTCCCTAGTGAAAAGGTAAGCGAAATAACGATATCTTGAAATTTGCAGGCAAATGGGTGGCTCTTGAAAACATCATATTGAGTGAGGTAACCCAGACCCAGAAAGACAAATATCACATGTACTCACTCAGAAGTGACTTTTAGACATAAAGCAAAGAAAAAAACAGCCGGCAACTCACAATCCCAGAAAACCTAGACAACAAGGAGGACCCTAAGAGAGACATATTAATCTACATGGAAAGTAGGAAAAGACACGATCTCCTGAGTAAATTGGGAGCATGAGGACCTTGGGAGAGGGCTGAAGGGGAGGGGCGAGGAACGGGGGAGTGAAGAAAAATATATAGCTCAATAAAAACAGTTAAAATAGAAAGGTAAGTGGTGCCAGGGATGCCAGCAAGAACGGTGCACACAGGAACAGCAGCAGCCCGTGTCCTTGGAACATCCCTGGGCGTGTGATGTGTGTGTTGTTTGGGGTGACCGTCAGGCCAACAGATTTAGCCCTCTTTTCCCATTTTCACCTTCTTCCACAGTGCGTGGGGGGTTTAAAATTAAACGCCTGCTAAGGGCAACAAAATTATTTGCTATTTGAACCATTCAGACACCAGGCAGGTTTTGTTCCCTTACATTGAACATTTCTCCAACTCTCTGGATGCCAGCAAGATGCCCGCAACTCATCTGCTGCTGTCCAGTGTCTGTGGCTGGTGTGAACTGTCTTGTTCCCCATGCCATTTGTTATTTATTCCCTCCATGACTGGTGTGAACTGTCTTATTCCCCGTGTCATTTGTTATTTGTTCCCTCCATGGCTGGTGTGAACTGTCTTATTCCCCATGCCATTTATTTGTTCCCTCCATGGCTGGTGTGAACTGTCTTGTTCCCCATGCCATTTGCTATTTGTTCCCTCTGTGGCTGGTGTGAACTGTCTTATTCCCCATGCCGTTTGTTATCGGTTCCCTCCGTGGCTGGTGTGAACTGTCTTATTCCCCGTGTCATTTGTTACTTGTTCCCTCCGTGGCTGGTGTGAACTGTCTTATTCCCCGTGTCATTTGTTACTTGTTCTCTCCTTGTACACTGGGGTAGCCTCCTTTCTTACTCTTGCCTCTGGGTTTGGCCACTTGATTTTCTTTGCCAATAGGATGAGCCAGAAATGACAGGGAGCCCGTTCTGAGCCCAGCCTTTCAGGCGGCCTCCATCCTGCTCCTCGGCATCTGGCATTGCCAGAGAAGCATCATGCCAGTGCAGGCTCTCCAGATGGTTTATAGAGGAGGCTGAGGAATGATGGAGCAGAATTGTCCTTTTCAAGGTTGTCCAGCAGGCGGGAGCCTGAGCACTGGCCAGGCAAGTTGACCCCAGCAGTCCTTACTGACCCCAAAGCCAGACTGAGAAATGACTGTGCTCTAAGACACTGTATTTGATAGTGACACGGTCATAGCAGCTAACATGTTGTTTAAAAGTAACGGTGGCGATATGGGAAACGGTGCCCCATGTTTTTACATATTCCCCACATGTGCCTGTCCCTGTTAGTGAACACCTCCCTGCTGTAACATTTTATATACTTTATTTATGGATGGCCACAACCCCACAGTCTCGTCAGACACAGTACAGTGACCACGACAGTCTCCATTCACAGCGCATCACTCATTAAGAGTTCCCAGGGTACCAGTTTGTAACCTTCTTTTTATTAACATGTTTATTGAGCTTATAAAAATATAATAAGTTATATAAACAGAATTACATAAAATATTCACAATTATGACTTCATGGGCTCAGGGCCTCAGACCTAACCTGGGCGTTCAGTAAATACCTTTAAGTGTTGATAGTGATAGTCTCCAGATGAAAATGGCAGCATGGAGTTCCAGCACCGGTCAGCGAGAAACGTCATGGTCTTGCCTTGTCTGATCTCTACAGCATAGGCAAAGCTCATTGAAGCAGACCCTTCCTGGATTTATTGCCAAATAAAGTAAATGACAAGGGGCGAGCTCCCCTAAATCAGCAAGCTGGGAGTCGATGAAACAACACGGATGCTGGCTGCCCTCAAGCCTTGAAATCTAATAGGTGAACTGAGGCCAGCCCACACTGCCCACGGCAGCTGCCCATTCCTCACCAGAAAGACAGTTGGGAGGAGAGGAGCCTGCTGTCCTAGCCTCGCCCACTCATCACAGATGACATTTACAGTCTAATTAAGGGGAAGCTCAACATCATTACTGAAAACCAGGGGTAAAGGGCACGGCAGGATCTCGAAGAGGAATTACAAGGATAATTAAGCAGACGATTTAACTTGCAGGATACAGCAAATACCGTCTTTAAAAAAAATCACAACGGACACAGTAAAATGATCATATTATATTAAATATTCAGGGCCCAATTATGGCCCTCTCACAGTATGTTCTATATTCAGTGGTGGGAAATTGCTTGATGGTTTTAAACGTACAACGGATTCCCACCCCAAAAGCTTTTGTTCAGTCCTATGACTTGTAATTTAAAAACAAACAAACAAACAAACAAAAAAAAGCAAACCCACAGCTTTCTGAACCAGAGGCTTTATTGCGATTTAACTATCGCCACAGCCAGCGCTTCAGGAGGGAGCCCAGCAGCCAGCTGGGCATTAACCCCCTGGCGGGAAAGCTCCCCTTTTCTTGGCAGTTACAGGTGAAATAAGAGAATCGGCCAAGAACAATGCCCCTTTAGAAGCTTCCTCGCTGTAAATGCTCTGTCCTACAATTGCTCTTACACGAGAATCCCTGATAGAAGTTCCCCTTGTACTCTCTTTGTGTGGCTGCCCACACTGTATCTACCCCACATCGGCCCCCTTGGCCTCTCCTGTCCTGCCTCCATTTTCTTTTGCTCACCTGAGCCTTAACTCTCCTGACCACAGACATGAAAACCAAGCTCTCATTTGCAGAAGAGAAGCTCGGTCTGGGGGAGGAGATGACAGCCCCCTGGGATGACACCCCCAGGGCCAGGCCTGCAGGCCCCAGCTCTGTACTGCACCTCAGGCTCCAGCATCCCTCGCTGGCTCAGTCGTCTGGACTGGCACAAGCCTCATTCATGAATTCCGGCGACTCCCGCTGGCGGTCTAGAATCGGGCATGGACAAACTCCTAGGAAGTCCTCATCTCCTTTTCTAGAGAGAACACACCCGTGTGAAGGACAACAATCTGACACACTGTACCAGCTCTGTCTGTGAGTGATGCTGGAGGCCAAATCTGCCCACACTTCCGTTGGGCGGGCAGACACGCCTTGTGCAGCAGTGACAAACCCCCAAGTTCTTCCACGAGTGACTGCAAGGCTTGTATTGTTGTGGGCAACTGCAAACACAGGTCAAGCCACCCCTGAAGCCATAGAGCACCCCAACAGACTGCTCTGTCTGCAGCAATGGAGGAAGTGGGACGTCTGAATTTGTACGTTTGTCTGTACTGAAACCTTCAAGCTATTCTCTTAAAGATGCTCCCATTTCTCAACTTCACCAGACGCTGTCACCCTTCTCGGAATTATTGCTACATTTTCTTAGCATCTCTTCATTTAGCCTGCTTGATGTTCTGGTGATGTGATTGTAGCATGCCCTCTGTATCCCACCAAGCGTCCCCTGACAGACAGGATGGGGTTCTTCACCAGCATCATCCCCACATGTCCATCTGAGTGATCAGCAGGCTCCTTAGGTCCACCTAAGGAATACAGTGACCCGCCAGGAAAAGCCTTGAGTTTTGGCAGTCCGATGGCATCACTCACAGCTTGCAGTGGCCTCATTGGATCCCCAGCGGGTCCCAGGGAGGACAGTTCAAGGCACACTCCTCAGGAAGCAGCTGGGGGCGGGGAGGCAGGTGGCACGACCCCAGCCCACTCCAGTATGTCTGCACACAAGGACTCCACCGCATCCAACCGCTCGATCTGCACCAGCTTTGTGAGCAGCTCGGGGATGCTGTAGCCCGCGGTGCTGATGCGGTCAAAGAGCTGCATGCCGTCAGTCATGCCCCCGATCTCATCCCGCTTCAGTCCAAAGCTCTCGGCAAGGTGGCGCCACGTCTTCACCACCGCTTTCTCAGAGTTGTACGTGGAGCTGAGCATTCGGCTGGTCTTCTCGAGGCAATCAAAGGGCAACTCTGTGGGGCTGAGACCTAGGAGAGGGATGGGCACAGTTACATGTCACAAACCGCAGTCAAGGGGAGCTCAGCATTAAACGCCTTCCAAGTGTTTAAGGGAATTAGCGTATGCTCTGAGTAGTCTCTTCCAGAAAATAGGAAAGAAGGAACTATTTCCCAATCTAACACCAAAATTTCTAACAAAATATTAACAGAGTTCAACAATAGAACAAAGCATTATGGACTATGAAAAGTAACATTTATTCTCGGGGTGTAAGTCTGGTTCCAGCTTTTAAAACTGAATGTGACTTTCTGGATCTAATCTACACGGGAAGTAGAAAAAGACAAGATCGCTTGAGTAAATTGGGAGCATGGGGACCATGGGAGAGGGGAGAAGGGGAGGGGAGAAGAAGGGAGGAGAGCAGAGAAAAATATATAGCTCAATAAAAACAATTTTTAAAAACTCAAGCAAATTAAAAAATACTAAAGGAATGAATGTTCTAACACATGCTTCTTGGTAAACACAGTTCATAGGGTTAAAATTTAAATGTGACATCATGCCAAAGCAGTGAAGACAGAAAAGAGAAGGAAGAGTGCACACAGGTTAGAAAGGAAGGAATAAAACGCCTTGTGTGCAGATATGACTGCCTATGTAGAAATTTCCAAGGATACTCAAAAACTCCCGTGACACTGACATACACAGCAACCCAGATGACTCTCTACTGAATTATGGAGAGACCAGCTAATCACTGAGTGTGTGCTCCATGATTCAACTTACAATAATATTTCTAAATGTATAGCTTACATATATGGGTGTTTTGCCTACCAGTATGTTTGTGTACCATGTGCATGCAGTGCACACAGAGGCCAGAAGAGGGCGACATATCTTCTGGAAATGGAGTTACAGATGGCTGTAAGCGGCTCCGTAGGTGTTGGGAATTGAATCCCAATTCTCTGGAAGATCAGCCAGTGTTCTTAACCACTGAGCCATCTCTCCAGCCCCCAATCTGACTTTTATAAAAGTCTTAAAGTGACAAAATTACAGCAATAGAAAACAGAATAGTGGTTGATGGGGCTGCAGGTGTGGGTTTGGGGAGCAGGAGAAGGCCCTGTGGTGGTGGGAAGGGGTCGTCATCTACTGTGTCAACAGCAACATCTTGATCGTGGCTTTTATGGGGGTGGGAGCTGTCAGCATCAGGAGAAGCTAGGAGAAGATCACCCAGGCTTTATTACCTCTTAGCACCAAATGGTAAGAACACCACAAGCCTGGTGTGGCGGCACATGCCTTTAATCCTAGCAGCCAGGAAACAGAAGCAGACAGAACTCTATGAGTTCTAGGCCAGCCTGGTGTACTTTACAAAGTGAGTTCTAGGACAGCCAGTGCTGTTCCACAGAGAAGCTCTGTCTCGGTGGGGGGCTGGGGGGTGAAGAGGAAGAATACCACAATGAAAACCTTTAAAAGAACTGGAGGACTTTGGTGTCTGGGGTTCACCCCATATTAACCACATTGGGATCTTGGGGAAGGCAGGGTGGCTGGAGAGGCAGAGGTAGTGAGTATTAAGGTCTTCATGTGATTCCAATGGCCTGGGGAGCCAAGCCATGCTGGCCCGAGGGCCTCAGCCTTGGCTGTGTCTTATTACTGTAGCATTAAGAAGGACTCATGCCCGGGCTGCCAAGGAGCACCTGAGGGCACAGGCTTGAAGATTCCACCCCGCAGGACCCACTGGAGGGCTCTTCTCATGGTTGAAGCTCTAAATCAATTCAAGAGCCACAGTTCCATGAGTTTGGTCTTTCAAACTAAGACATTCTTTGGAACAGACAAGAGCTTCGGGGGTGCTGTAATGTAACTCCCAGACCATATTCTTCTGGGCAGCCAACAGCACCCACCATGCCAAGCTTGATTAAGTAGGCTGACCAGGCATGTACTTATGGAGCCTTGCCATGTTTCTGAAGGCAGCCAAGAAGAATTCTTGGCCCTGGAGTTCTTGCTCAGTGGTTACTTCTGGCCAAAGAGAACATCTAACCAGCCTGCCCCAGCTCAGGGCCTGCACTTCTCCCACATGGGACAGGAGTGGCAGGCAGTATATGACCCTCTCCAGGCAAACAGTTCAACCAGACCAGGGTGTACGGAGGGGTGCCAGCAAGGCGGGAGGCAGGAAAGTCCCCTGACATCAGCAGTGAGGGGTTTATTTCCAGGGTGAAGAGAAGTTCATTTGGGGCTTGGGTTTTGTAGCATCTAGGAGGATTACAGACTGGACTCTCTATGGTCCTCACTCTCCTGCTTCTCACCTGTCCACTGCAGGCCGTTTGACCTAGCGTGGCTGCTCTGGATGGAGGGAAGAGCCCTCCAAGGCCAGGCCGGTGTGCCTTGTGAAACAGGTTCTAGGCCCAGCCACAGCCTGCATGGTGATGCTGCTGTCGATGACAGGAAACACTGGCTCCGTAGTAAACCTCCTGATACCCTGACCATTTTAGCTTGTGATGTATACTCGATATTGACACAGCGACAAATCTCACGCCCATGTCTTTCTTAGTCTGCGTCCTCATTGGCACTGACTACTAAGTGTCATCGGTCACTTCCATGATGACAATACCGATGTGGACACAAGCACAGTGGCACTGCACCCGCGTGCATGCTGGGAGTCTCTTGTCCTGTGACAAAAGCATTATGGGGTGCTTTAGCCTAAGCCAGGAACCAAACTCCCTTCCCTCCCCCCCCACATCACAAGTCGGTTCATTTGGCCTTTCTGATTGGGGTCTGACCACCTCCATCAGATGTGGATGACTGTCCCCAGTTCTTCACACAGGGGCCTGGCACTGAGGGCTATCATCTCAGGGAAGTGTACCCCAAATGGCTTTTTCGTCTTTTGCTTGTTTAAGATAGAGTCTCACCGTGTAGCCCTAGCAGGCCTGGAAATGCTATGTAGACCAGGTTGGCCTCAAATTCACAGAGATCCACCTGCCTCTGCCTCTTAAGCGCTGGGATTAAAGGATGGTCCTCTAGCCCTTACCTTCAACAACACCACATACGTTGGCATATACATCCAATATCTTCTTCCTTCGGCTTTGAATCTATAAAGAGCAATGAAGAGAATGTTCATCTTTAGAAAGGGGAAAGACGGTAGCAAAGCCTCAAGTCTTCCCTTTGCACTGGCTTGGCCGTGATAACTAGGCATATTTGCTATGCCAAGGTGGAAGCAGCCCAAACATACCAGAAGGAAGAATGTCCCGAGGGTTTCCATGCAGATACCCTCTGTGCACAACAGGAGTGCTACTTGGGTTTAAAGGCACACCAGTGTTAGAGCTGTCATCCTTGTGTTGAGAAGGTTGACAATGACGACCCCAGTTGGCCACCAGGGCAGCCATGCATGCAGTGGCTAACAGAACTATGGAATGCTCTCTTCACCAGGGCAGGGAGCTCAGGGCTAAGAAGGGCAATGAGTGGCCCTGGGTGAAGAGACCAGGCCTGTGGCAGGCAGCATGGTCTCTAGGTTCGTTTAGCGAGACCACTGCCTAGAGTGAAGTATCCTGCAGGGCCAGGCCAGATCCAGGATCCCTGCAAGACCTTTCTCTACTACCAACAATGTTGCCACATGGTTTGGCTGGGCTGCCCGAGGCACAGACACAAGCAGGAATATATGCCAGAGCCCGAGAGCACACCCCGTGTCACAGGATTCCAAAGTACCTTGCTTTAGTGATAAAACCCTCGGGACAATTTGTACGAGTGAATCTGTTGCTATATAAGAGCAGTGTGTGTGTGTGTGTGTGTGTGTGTGTGTGTGTCTGTGTCTGTGTCTGTGTGCATGTGTGTTTACATATAAAACATCATTTCCTGTTTTTAGAACCTTTTAGGATATCAACATCTGTGGTCGCTGAAGACTACTATGTAAAATGTCTATTTGCATAGATCCTAGTCACATCATCCCATACACTGTAAATCATCTTCAAATTATTTCTGATAATTAACACATGGAGTGTTGTGCAAACAGTTATTGCACTGCATGGTTTAGAGATTGATGACAATAAGAAGTGTGCATGGTTAGTACAGGCACAGTTTTCTTTTTATCTATCCTTAGTTGACACATGGATTCAGAACCCACAAATACACACAGATTGTGTGTGTGTGTGTGTGTGTGTGTGTGTGTGTGTGTGTGTGTAACTACTTAGAAGTGTACTGTACATTTTTGGAAAGTTTTTCTTTTCCCGTTCTCTGACATTTTCAGTAATTTTTAAAAAACTTCTTTTTTGTCTATAAGCAATATAAATAATATTTAAAAATCTGTTGCTTTGGTCTTTGTCCTAGCTGGGACCTTTGGGAGAAACAGCATCCTAAGGAACTTATTCAGCACGCGGGATCCTGTCTGCTGGCTGTAAATTACTGCACCGGTGTCCCCTGGACCAGCCGCCAGAGCCTCACCCCAGCAGACTTGTTACTGGCTGCAGCCTTCTCCCTGGCCAGGTGAACTAGTGACAGCAGGCATAGCTCTGGGGACCCCTGCTTGTCCGGGGCAGGCTCCTCATCGCTGTCCACACTGCGACTCAGCAACTGCTCATTCTCAGAGGAGGCATCGTTCTCACTGCGGAGACAAGCGGGACACCTGTTAGTGGAGTCTGGGAGACTGAGGCCCAGATGAGCTGCCTTGGCATCGACCTTGTTGTCCAGGTATGGAGAGCATTGCACAATTGTTCCTTAAGCATTTCCTGCGTCTACTGAGCTCTAGGTGAGGGGGCACGAGGTGAGAAAGGACAGCCTGTTCCCTGACAGACAAGCAATTCTCATTCAGTGTGGCCTGTAGATCTTTGCATGGGGTCCCAAGAAGCAATGGGTTCTGAGAGGCTGCAGACACCATTGAGGGTTGCACCTGACATCTCTCCACACTGCCTGACACCATGGATGCTTGGTAAAGCTTCACTGAGTATGTTGTAAGTGCACCTTAATGTCAAGGAAAGCCCTCTTGACTAGTGGCCTGGCCTTAGATGCGTGCCTTGTGGGAGCTACCGAGAGCCCAGAGGGTGGGCAGGGTTGGTGATCATATGCATCCAGGCTCATGTGCCTGCACCCTGTTCACTGCTCAGCTCACACAGAACCTGGCACCTGTGGGCTGGAGCTTAGGACCCCAAACCATTCAAAATAAAAGCAAAACAGTGTTCTTCCTGTAAAGCATTTTGCTTACTTCCTTGGTTTAGCTAAAGATCTTTAGTAAAAGGGATTCTGTTTGCCACACATTATATCTGAGTGTTACTGCTAGCAGTGAAGAGCACATGCAAACACAGCCCCTGGAATGAGAATAAAGGAAAAAGGAAAGAAAAGGAAAAATACAAGCCGTTAGGAAGCCATCTAATAGAGTCACTTTGTCATTATGCTTGCGGGCCTACAAGGGAGGTGGCGGACCCATCCCCTTCACAAACTCTGGCAAGCAAATGGAAATGCATGATGGGATCTTCACTGATTACCACATGGCATTTCCACAGATCACCACATAGCTCCCAAGTCCCACTTCCAAGACCCAAAAGCTGTTCATAGGGACAAGAAGACTCATGACCTTGTCTTTAAAGCAAAACCTTAATATTTATACATGCAAAGAGTATATATTTCCCCACGTATAGTCCTGCCAACTTTTCCCTCAGAAGAAACTCAAGCCATGGAGCACATCCTTGCTTGTTTACCATGCCCTTTGTGCTACTTTTAGGAACAAAAGGACCTGGAATTATAGGAGGGGCAAGCTGGGACCAAATGGGGTCACACCATATTCCGAGCCCTGTCTCAGCCTTGTCACCATGTATAGCACATAGGACAGGGCCTGGACCACAACTTTCCAGAGTCTGAACAACGACCAGTTTGAATGAAGGCACCATGGGAACTAAGCCCTCTCCAAGGCCTTGAGTAATTTCATACCTATGAACTCCATCTACAGTGCAGAGATGCCTGCATTGGGGGTCTTGAGAGCACTAGAGTTTTTCCAAATGGGTTAATGTACTAGGCTGGGCTTCCTCGGTGCCTGAAGTTTGTCCAGGCTGAGGAGTACTTATTCTCAAGTAGAAAAGATAAGCAAGAATACTTGTGTCATGGAAGATCCTGTCTTGGGTCAGGAGGGAGGGTTCGGCACTCTCCTCATAGGAACTCTGCTCCCTAGCTGCAAAGATTGGCATTGGGTAGATGGGGTCCTTCCCACACTTTTCTGTAAAGCCACAGAGCAGGGTCCATCAGAAAGGGGCTTTCAGGCTGCCTTGCTGGGAACCAGTTGTGAAGAATTGCAAGACCAAGTTCAAATGACTAGGGGGACAATAGGGAATGACTTCCCTCTTAGTTGATTTTAAGGTTGAGGGTGTTCTATAACCCAGTGTTTGGTAAATGTGCTAAAATACCATTAGGTAAATATCTCCCCCAGAGGGTGTATGCACCAGGCCTTAATAGATGGTTGACAGCCTGGACTTTGGTTCCAGTTTTTTTGATCCCTAGTGCGCGATTTTGGTCCAGTTATGGAAGTGGGGCTGACATCAACCTGTTTGTCTTAGGGATGCGGCAAGGCTAGTATTGTGCCTGGTGCAGGTGCTGTTGGCTTTAAGGCATTTTAGGCATTGCTGGCAGTTGTGAGAACTTGCCCAGGATGTGTGTATCCTAGGATTCATGCCTTTCCTCAGAGAAGGATGGATGGCACAGGGCACCTGGGAGATTGGGGGTAGGGAGGGTGGGCAAACGGAGAGCAGGTGTTATACCGTCCCCAGCACACACCAGCTGCTGGCGTTAGTGAAGAAACAAATTACGTGCTAGTTTGGATTGCCCCCTTCTGTTGGGATGCTCACCTCCCGCATCCGTAGACTAGCCTCAGGCCAGGCACCAGCTACCCTGTTCCCTCACTGCTACAGCTCGCCTGCCTGCTCCAGGGTTTAGAAGGACCCAGCTGGGTCTTCAGTCCTGGAAACTGGGGCTGTTCCTTCCAGCAGCGACTGTAGGCAAGTCCCTGTTCTACGTACCTCTTGGGGGTCTTGGTGGGTGTAGCTGTCAACTTCTGGAATTCGCCATTCTCAGGGAAGGTCACCACACTGTCTGTAGGAACGGAAGTTGGGGGTGAATGAAAGTCAGCGTGAGGCCCCGAACTGGTCTCCCTTCATATTTCCTTTTCAGTAGACAACCCTGGTGACTGGCTCCCTACCTGGGCACAGAACAAGTGGGCACCCCCCCCCCGCCGCCCCACCACCCGCCGCACAAAGGGCCCTGAGCCCTGAAATCAGAGGTGGGGAGGCTGGGCTGTCAGGCTGGAGGAGAAAGGTGGACATACTCTGCCTTCATGCTCTATATTGTTTATGGGGCAGCATGGGCGGTGCGTACAAACCTGGCGCCTCCTTTTTCTCCTCGTGTGTGCTAGCTGGGGCTTCCGGGCTTTTCCCCGGGGGGCTGCTACAGCAGGCTGCTCGAAGAGAGAGAAGAAGGTTGGCTTGAGCCCCCCTGGTTCTCTCAGGGAAGGCGGCGGAGTGCTGGGGTGGGGGAGGGGCGCGGGGTGTCACCTGGAGCGGAAGGCTTCGTCTTCATGATGTAGAACATGATGATGAGTACGATGGCGATGGCCATGATGAAGATGGTCGACATGGCGATAATCAGGGCGGTGGCCAGGTGGCCCTGGCCCGAGAGCTCTGCTGGCATCGGGGAGAGGAGGAGAAACGCTTTTGAAGGCCCCTCCCCCAAGCCGCGGCACCCACCGGAAGACCCGGTCGTAGGAATGCTTCCAGGGATCACACTTGGCCCAAGGACCTGGCCCTCCAAGTGTGTTTGGCTGCTAGGCTGCTCCCACATTGTCAAGCAGGCTCACGTGTGTTGAACTGGGAAGACTAGGAGGTAAAACCAAGAGGCCGTCCCTGGGGTGCTTACTCTTGACTTTCCTACTCTGAGATCCTGAGAGAAAGGTGGCAGTGAGGACGAGAGGCCCATGAACGAGCGTCTGGAGACAGCATAGTTCAGGTTTAGGCGCTCCGAAGCAAAAGGCCACTCCTCGGGTTACAGATCGGATTCTTGGCTTGGTTTTCCTTGGCACCTTGTCCTCAGAGTCCTAGCAAGAGCCCCAGGGAAGCGAGGGCTGAACTGACCCGACAACTCCTGCTGTTTCCACTTCTGCCTGGCTGCTCCTTACTCCCGGAGCTGTTTGCTTGGTTCCCTAACTGCAGCTTTGGTATGTGGACTATCCAAAACTTTCCTCCAACTCTCCAAAATAACCAAACAGGACACCTGGGTCCCATGAAGCAGGATCCAAATGACCTGTCACCCAGAAAGGCAGCGGCAGGCATCTGGTACCCTGGACCATTTGAAGGAGGTACAGGTACCATTGAGGGTGTTCAGCCTCCTGCTGTCATCGGGTACATCCATAACACTGCCAGATGTGGGAGACGGTGATGTGTGTGTCCTTTTATTCATGGGTGCATGCTTTTCTCGGGTGCTGGGGAATGTGAGGTGTCTCTGAGCGGGAGCATGTGATTCCATCATATCAGAGAAGTGATGGGGAGGGCTCCATGCTCATTGCTGACAGATGTCCCCTCTCCCTCCTCACCCCTCTTTGCCCCCTCTTAGCAGAGTTTCAAAGGATCCCCCAGCTGGGCACCCTCCTCACCTTTGTGAGCATGCTGGAAGGGGGACAAGGTGCTGCCCCCAGACGTGCTGGAGGAGTGAGCAGAAACCCCAGAGGTGGCTCCCACACCTGCAAGGAGAACACAGAACCTCAGAGATCTGACAAAGCACTGTGTTCAAAGGCTGGAAAATAAGATACCGCAGTGAAGTGAACCAATCTGGGCTTCTGGCTGTTCTGCAGGGGTGGGGCCGAGAGCACGTATTTTATTTCCTAGTATGTTTAACGTTCCCAAAGAGTGCTCTGACATCTTAGAAATTCTGTTTATTAAATGTGTGTGTATGTATGTATGTATGTGTGCCAGTGTATGTGTATATGTGTGTATATGTATGTGTGTACGTGTGTATGTGTTTATGTGTGTGTATGTGTGTATATGTATGTGTGTGTACCAGTGTATGTGTATATGTGTGTGTATGTGTGTATAAGTATGTGTGTATGTATGTGTGTGTGTGTGCTGTATGTGCAGCACATGCGTGCAGGTGCCTGTGAAGACCAGAGGAGGGCACTGGAACCCCTGGAGCTGGAGTAACTAGTGCTTGTAATCCACTCAATGTGGGTGCTGGGAACTGAACCCCAGTCCTCTGCAAGAGCAGCAAGCACTCTTAGCCATGATTAGCCATGAGCCATCTCTCCATCCATTGGGGTTCTTGTTCTTTTTTTTTATATTGCTTGAAGATATTTTATTAAGACTAAAAAACTCTCCATTACATTTATCAATAAATTCATCATAGGCCAAAGGAAAATAAATAAAAATCTGCATCTTCAGGACATTTTGACTCCATAGTTTTGTAATCTGAATTTACATGTTTGCTCACTTTAAATTACTACACTCTAGGCACACTCAATGATTATATAGTACCAGGAATGCCAGCCTTATAGATGCCAAGTTTCCATATTACTCAGGGAAACCATGGTTATTGTTTCAATTTTATCTCTTTACATTTGGGCCACTCTAACTGGGGGGTGGACCAGGAGAACAGCATTACACGCGAAGTTCAAGTTTAATTGTACAAACACTGAAACAGTGGTTGTTTCTTCTCTAACAGTGGCTTCCGTGTCATCCCAGGAACAGGCTGCTGAGAGCTAAGTACCAAGGGAGCTCTGCCTCACCCACTCAGTTTTCCTGTGACCGAGAGGAAGTTTGTGCATGCTGTGAGAGACAGCACGTGTCTATGGAAGCATTTTAGAGGGAATACTGCTTGATTAATTTTGTTTTCATTTAGAGCAGAAATGTGTTTTCAATATCTTTTCTGGTCATAAAAGCAATATATTCTTGTTGCTAAAAATCCAGAGAAACAAAACCCAAGGAGGAAGCAGAAGGAGCCCGCAGAGTGGCACTCTCGTGTTCGCAGCTCTGACATGTGTTCCTCTAGGATTCTCTCTAAGGTCCTAAGTGGTGGTGGCTCTGTGGTGCTGGCCTCATGCATGCTAGGCAATCACTGCACCTCTGCACTGCACTCTGAACCAGAGGTGAGTTTTAAATAGTTCCCACCAACTCATTTAAGAATGGATGTGCCCTGCTCTCCTCTCTAGCTGTGGCTCTTTGCTCTCCCTCCACAGGAAAAAAAAGGGTCACTAAAAAAACAAAACGAAAGGGTGGGTAGGGTAGTATATGCCTTTAATCCCAACACTTGGGAGAGGCAGGCGGATCTCTGTAAATTGAAGGCCAGCCTGGTTCACAGAGTGCATTCCAGGTCAGTCTATACTACATAGAGAGGCCTGGTTTCAATAATCAAGACACTGGGGTGGGGATAGTGCAAGGAAGAGAAAAACTGCCACTTAGCATGGAGAAAAATGGAAGCTGATTTGCTACCAGACAAACCACATGTCCTTGTTTTTTTTTCCTGACAAATAACCTTTGTTAGGTCAAACTTGAGTTCTTCAATTGATAAAAACAACCAGGGTTAGACCATAGATAGCTCAGTGGTGTTAGAGGCAGAACCCTTGCCCCTCAACTGTGGCCCCAGCCCTGGAGTGGGAGAGGGAGTTATGTTTTCTTTTCTTTCTCTCTTGTCCTCGCTGCTTCTCAGTTCTGGAGAGGATCATAAAGTCATCCCATGATTCTGAAAAGCCACCAACCTCCCTGATGTTACATCCTTCCACCCACCCACCCCAGCCAGCCAAGAGATTGGCCTGAAGGGTGTCCTGGGGTCAGCCTACAGTGCTGTGGGACTTCTGTAAGGAGTAAGCAGGGGCAGCAGTTAACAGAGGTTCTGGGAGAAACTCCTGTGTGCGAAGTCTCCTGCCATCTGGCTTGTGCCAGCCCGGGAGCAGGAACACAGTCACACAGCATGGAATGCGCGGCCGAGTTATGTGAGTATCACCCTGTGGAGAGAGGCCAGGCGCCTCTGTCCTGGGCCTTGTACCTAGATCAACAAATAGCGAGATGGAAGATGAACAGTGTGGACGTGCCAGAGGGCATCACGGGCCGAGAGCAGGCTGGAGGTGGGTTTCTGTGCATTGGGGAGGTGAGAAGGTATTCAGAGAGTAGCTTGGCCCTCAGCATTAGACAGAAATAGGACTGTGGTGTGGGCCAGGAGGATAGTCACTTGCCCAGGGAGGGTGAGCTGTCTCTTTAACTTTCTGGAGGAAGACTGGAAGCCTTTCTGTGACCTTCAGGTTCCAAGCTTAACGTTCTACTATTAAAGTTTATCTTTAGGGATAACTCTGAGGGAGGAACGGGCGAGGGAGTCCTCAGTGGTGGTCCTGCCTCCACAGCTGTGCTCACCTGCTCCCCTATCAAATGACAGGCATTCAGGCTGTACCCCTTCCTGCTCACGGACCCCCACCAGGTTTTTCACAGGCGGGCACTGCTCCAGCCAGCAGAGGCAAGCTCCAGGGTCTTGCCATTTGTACTATGCTGGGAAACAGCCGTCACATGTCATCAGGAGGACGGTCCTGACCCAGCTTTGAATAGAACCTAATTGCCTTTCTCTAAAGCAAATAGAACATTGAAAAGAAACTGATCTGATGGTTTGGTTAGGGGCTCAGGTGAGCTTAAGATATATGGGCAGAAGAAGAAGAAAAAAAAAAAACCACGGGCTGTATTTGTGGACGCAAGCAATCTTTGTCTTTTTTTTTTTTTTTTTTTTTTTTTTTTTTGGGCCCTTCTTTCCCTTCTTGCTAGAACTTGTCGGCCAAGGCAGTAGAAGGGCTGGGGACAGGGTGCAAACACACCCAGGTCTATGGTCTGGAAAGAAACAATGGAGGAAGCGTGGTTAGTACAGACTTATGAAATGCCCCTGTCCCCGAGAGGGCTGGTTACATGACATCGCCAAACATTGGTACAGGCTGCTACTTGTTAAGGACATCTTCCAGAGCCACAGATGCTACCTGCTTGGGCCAGCTATGCCTTGCTGGACAGTCCCCAAACTGAACTCCAGTTGGCATTAGCAGAGCATCCAGATTGTACAGGCTATAGGAGCTGCCAGGAACTCCTCAGCCAAAGGATGCTGTGCTGAGTACATCTGAGAAGGGGGAAGTGGGGATGAGGTATGGCAGGAAGGTAGACCTCTTCTTTAAGCCGGGGACTGGAGCCAAACACCTGCAGCCACCCTTCAAGCGAACCCTTCAGGTCCTCATGGCCTCCGCCCTATCCTTCCTATGTGATGAACCTCGGCACTTCCAGACTCTTCAGGGAGGCAGATACTTCCCTCTGGGATCCTGCAGCAGACCCTGGGGCCTATTTGTACAGAAGGAGCAGAATTGCACAGATTCAGCCAGGCCCATAGGCCATGCAGGTCCTGAAGGGCTGCACCCCACAGCCTGATGACAGGCTTCTCAGGGTCAGAACTGGCAAGAGAGTGGAGCTGCTCTTTCAGCAAAGAGAGAGCCGCAGGGACCCAGAGCAACTGAATGCATGGGTGGTTCGGATGTTCTGAGTGACAGCTCTGTTTCAGGCAGGCGGAAGAACTGTACTCTGTGGAGAACAGCTGAAATCAAATTCAATAGGACCTGCTCTGAGCACAGCAGACAAAAAAACCCACCTGCCTCTTATTTGGTCTCTTTTGCCCTCAATTCAGTGCCTTCTGCCTTCTAGGTGAGGGAGGCCTGAGAAAAGCAGAGCAAACCCTAGTCGTGAACATCCCCAGGCTGCCAGGCTGACCTCACACAGGTCTGTTCAAGCCCCTCGGCATCCTGGCATATCACCGTCATAGAGACCGCTGGGGCAGCGCAGGCCCCAAAGGACCCCCTAGAAGCCGCAGGGAACGTGGCTCGCTAATGGGCAGGAGGGTACCTGCAGGCCTTTGGAGGCAAACGCAGGTCCCTGGCAATCACTTCGGGATGCTTCTGTTCTTTCTTAGATTGGTTGGAAAAAATCCCCAGAGGAAACAAACACCCTCTCTCTATTATCCCGAACCCTTGAAAAACACATACCAGAATTATAGACGTTAATCTTAGGAACACACTGTATCGTGTTGAATAAACTGTGTGTGATGTATGTTTGGTCAAGACCCACGGAGAGGGAGAGAGAGAGAGAAAGAGAGAGAGAGAGAGCGCCACAGACCTGGGTTATTGCTGCTCTTCACTGCATCCCATCATCATCATGGCTCTATAAACTATCCCCGCTTACAAGGTACTTGGGGGCGGGGCCTAGAAGACGTCTTAGCATCTGCATTGCCCATCACGGAGGCACGGGCATGGTGCAAGTCCCCCCTGCTGCATGCTAGGACCCTTGCATGCATATTCTCCTGTATTAGGCTGTACTCTGGTCTGATGCCGATTGACTCTCACTACCAAAATGGTTTGCAGCTAGGAATATCCCAGTCTACCCTGCTCTCCTCAATCGGGCATTTGCTCCTCTGTATCAGTCTCTTTGGCTAGTCAAGTGCAGATGAATGGTTGCTTCCATGGGACCCTGGCTTTGAAATGAGCAAGGTGAAATGTAAGGAGCCATCCGGATATCGCCATCACAAGATGGCGCTGACGGTCCTGCAGCTTGGAGGTAAACAAAGTCCTTCTTTGGTATTGCCACATGGGGCTGAGCGCCCTTTGCTTGTACATGTGCAATTGAGCCTTGCCCCTAGCCAATCCCGAGGCTTCGGGCATCAGCAGACTGGTATTCACCAATC